ATAGTGACCCTGTACAGGGTTTCCTATGAATCTTTACGGGAGCAGAAAGCCTCATCTTTCTCCCACAGAACAGCTGGTAGTTTCAAACTGCTGAACTAGAGGTTAGCAGCCCAATTCGTAACCACTATGCTACCAGAGCTCCATACATATATATAAAGAATGTGGGGTGTCTCACTAATAATTTTACATGTATTACATGTTGAAATGATAATACTTTGGCTACATGGGTTAACTAAACTGTATTAAAAATTCCATCTGTTTCTTTGTATGTTAATATGACTACTAGAAAACTTATTATCATATATGTAGCTCACATTATATATACCTTGGACAGTGATGTTCTAAACCATCCTGTTCTATTTTTCAAGCCTCCAGGACAGATTCTGGAGCCTTCCTTGGTGACTGATTGCTCAGAGTATTTGTCATTCTGACAATTCATTTCTTCTTCTCATTCAGTCATATCTCTCCTGTTTTATTTGAGGATGTAGTCTTCAAATAGTTGATGGCTCAGCATCTTATGAAATCCCACTTAAAGAGAATTAGGCCTCTTCTCATCGGATTTTGTGTGTAAGAGCAATAACCCTATTTTCTTTCACATTTTGACTTTATCACCCTTTGATCATTTTTAGAAACTTTCGCTGGATCATCTCTGTATTATTGTTGATGTGAAGTTTTATAGTGTTTTGGGAAGTTGTACAGCAGATTTGGAAACCATTTTAACATTTACTGCACAAATTGGTACTGCATTGTAGGATAAGTATTGGGCTGCTAACCTTAAGGTTAGTAGTTCGAACCTACCAGCTGTTCCTTAGAAATCTTATGAGTCAGAACTGACTCTGTGGCACTTAATGACAACATTACAAATTGTTCATTAACATTGGTTATTTTTCAGAATATGTCAATATTTTCATTCATTCTATTCTGGATGCTTTATTTTCAGTAATTTGGTTTCCATGTCCCCTTACCCTTTCATCTTTGCTTTAGAGTAATTATTAACCATTTGGTTCTCTATATTATTTTTAAAACTTGGTGTCTGAAATTATCCATAGCACTTTAATAAGCGTCTGACTGATCCAAAGACAAGTAGAAAGAATTATTTCCAGTACCAAATCCTTGACGGTCCTTTTTGAGTCCTTACCTCATTTAATCTGACTAATGAGACAGTTGAGTGGGGCTCAGAGAGGTTAGATAAGTTACCAAAGTTCTATCACTAAGGAAGTGGCACATCTGGGACTTGTCCCCAGATTTGCCTGACCAGAGTTCTGGTGTGGCACTGTGGGCTAATGCGTCAGACTGCAAAGTCATTGGAACTGCAAGGTCGGTGGTTCAAGCTCACCAGTCACTCCTTGGAAACAGGGTTGCTATGGGTCGGAATCATCTCGACAGCACTTATCAACAACAACAACAACATTCTTTCATTGTATTCCATTCCTTCCTTGTCTGATGGTTTTCTTGAAATGTGCCCTTATGGTCTTGAGATCCCTTGCAGTTCATGGCTGATGCATTTGTAGCTTATGGTCAGTAATGACTATTGGACTTGTTCTAATAGGTTTGTGCCTAGCTAGAATTGTGAAGCTGAGCTAAATTCCAGAAGCCCTCTTGCAACTCTTCAGACATTGTATAAAAGCCAGCAGCAAGACTGTGTAGTGCTAGCCCTAGTAGGGTCATGAGTGGGACGGACCGAGTTGGGGTCTCCCAGTTTCAGGAGTGGCTTTTCTGGAAGGAAGCTTGCTTTCCTGTGGCGTCAACTCCTGTGGCTAACTGACAGCCTTCAGAACCAGTGACTGCCCAAAGACCAGTCAATCACAGTGCATTGTTGATCCATGTTTACTTATGTAAGGCAACAAGCTCGTGCTTTGTGTGGGAAGGAACAGGAAGGGATCCTTGTGAGTGTTAAAACCAGATCTTCACCTAAAAACAGTCTCCTTGGTGTATCTGCTCAGGGTGTCCCTGGAGCCGAGTCTTTGATCCATCGCTTGTTCTAGCTCTGAGCCTGTGTCCTTCCTCTGAGTTAGGTGAAAGGTGCAGATTTACTATTATGACATGAAAGAAGTACTTTTGTTTTGATTTGTTTTTTTCCTGGTGGATTTCTCCACCTGTGAAGCTTAAGAAATGTCACACACATGCCTTTGCCAGGGTTTTAAACCTGTCTGGGGGAAGGAAGCATAGCAGCCTTACCCCAAGGACTGGGCTGTTATTCCTCAATCTCTCCTGTCTATCTGAGGGAGTAGCTAGACTTTTCTAAAAAAGAAATACGGTTTTGCATTTTCTTTGGTTATACTGAAGTGGTCATTGTGTCTTTGGAGACATGAATGAGCATTAGATCAAACACCCAAACATCGCAGAACATTTGTTCTGTGTTTCATTGAAGTCACTGCCGTCTGACAACTTGAGGTCAGTTATGGAACCCTCGTGCCTTGACTATTTTGAGAAAAGATAGCCAGGTATATAAATTGGGACTCCAGTCTACAGGAATTCCCTTTCCAGGGTGGTGTTTCATGTCTGAGTGGGTCTGTTTGCTTGTTTACCCTGTGTATTTTCCTTTTCAGGAATCATTAACCAATGGCAACAGGAATCCAAGGATAAAGTGATTTCCCTCCTGTTAACTCACCTGCCTTTGTTGAAGCCAGGAAACCTTGACGCAAAAGTAGAGTATATGAAACTGCTCCCCAAAATCCTGGCTCACTCTATTGAACACAACCAGCACATCGAGGAGAGCAGGCAGTTGCTGTCCTATGCATTGATACATCCAGCCACTTCATTGGAAGACCGCAGTGCTTTAGCCATGTGGCTGAACCACTTGGAGGATCGCACTTCTACCAGCTTCAGTGGTCCGAACCGAGGCCGCTCGGACTCTGTGGATTATGGGCAGACACACTACTATCACCAAAGACAGAACTCTGACGACAAACTCAATGGGTGGCAGAACTCTCGGGATTCTGGGATTTGTATCAACGCCTCCAACTGGCAGGACAAAAGCCTGGGGTGTGAGAATGGCCATGTGCCCCTCTACTCCTCCTCATCTGTCCCCACCACAATCAATACAATTGGAACCAGCACAAGTACAAGTAAGTCCCCTGAAAGCCCTTTCACGCTGTCTTGCTTTTGGTGACTTGCTGTGTTTGGCATGTCCCACTGCACATGTCTGCTCTGCGCACTTTGTAACCCTGGGAGAGAAGGGCTAATTGGAATTGGCGATAGGGGAAAGGTTCTTTGGACCCTATTTTTGTGTGGCGCTTTTGACTCTGGAAAGATGAAAATGCTGAGCAGGTAAAAAATGATTGATGGTTCAAATTCGGGTTACATACAGACTGGAAAAAAAAAAAAAGAGAGAGAGAGAGACTCAATGGTGAAAGAAGGAAACTTCCTGTTTCTAAAAATAGGAAGGCCTTTCACCCCTATGTCTTTCATGCAGGGGTTTTGGGATCTGAAAAGATGCTCGGTTACCACATGACACTCTAAACCTAATTCTAACCCATGGTTAACCAGCCAGCCACATGGGCTTTGTGCTTTTTTTCCTTGTTTTTAATGTCACCCTGGAATGTACCCTCCCTTGCATTTTCCGGTTTGAAGCCCCAGTTGTCGGGAGCACTTCTCACAGGGGTAGTGGGTTTGCTAACGGAGAATGCTGCTCTGTGCTGTGGCCTGGTGTGAATGCTGTGGACACTACTCATGCAGTCTAACCCCTTAGGAGAGGCAGGGCAGGAACTGTTATGCTGCGGGAGAAGCAGGAGAGAACAGCTCTCTGCTCTTTGGACAACTAAAGCAAAGGAGTCTGCCCACAGTTTAGACTAGACCCGAATCCTCCCTGTGCGCTCCAGATAGGCTGAGCAAAGCCATAAACTTACCATCCATGCTTACGTACAGCTGCAATGTGGGAACGCAACCATGTGACCCTGAACTTGGATGCTAGTTCTCGTGTGTCCTTGAGCATAGTAGAGTGCTGGAATCACTTTTGGGGGGTGAGGGGAGAGCCTTCTTGTGGTAAGACCCTGGCTGTCAGTGTTCAGGAGCCCTCAATTAAATGATATGAAAGTGTTAAGAATTGGCACTGATGGTTTTTTGGCTACTACCGCCACGTAGCCAGTGGGCCTTTTCAAATGGCTATGTCAAGTACGGAGCAGCGCTAACCATGATGGCGTCAATTGAAGCAGTATTCCCTAACCAAGGAAATGCTTAAGCTATTGCATGAGGGTTTTGATTGTTTTCTCTACTTTATATTTGGATACCAGTGATTTCACATATTGGGAATGAGGTGATGATGGCATCACTGATTGATTGTGTAAGAGGGCTCTTGTGGCGGTCGGTTCCTTCTGCAGACTAGCCATCTAACTGGGGAATTTTGCACTAGCTGCTGTGTGATGGTGAATGATGGCTGGGTCTATTAGAGCAGACACATGCAGACTGGAAAGACAAAGCATGTCGGCCCGAGTTTCCTGGGTCAGCGGCACAGTCTAATAATTATTACTAAATTCTTTGATAGCTGAGAGAGATATAAACTCCTGAGCTGCCTATCCTTTCAAAATTTGATCTTTTATATTTTAAGGGACTGAGTTTTATGCTGTTGGTTTTGAAATTGTCTAGAGTCATCGCATTTCCATCTCCACAGATTTACACATTTTGGGTCAGTACTTGACAAGATTATGACATTTAAGGAAGTTGACAGATTGTGGTTAAATGGTACTTGTATTTTTCACTGTGGCCACCCAGTCCCTTGTTGTAGTTTGATGTTAAGTGCTGTCGAGTGGATTCCTTATCATAACGACCTTGTATAGGGTTTCCAAGAGTGGCTGGTGGGTTTGAATTACCAACCTTGTGATTATCAGTCCAGTGCTTATCCTATAATGCCACACCAGGGCCCAGCCCCTTTGAAGGGAGTAAAAAGATGATTGTCATGATCTCCCAGATCTTTGCATAACACTTGGACTGAAAAGAACTTGGGGGTCTAATAAGATGACTAGATTCCAGGTCTCTGGAAAAAGAAAGGGATGTGAGCCCTATTTCAGAGCACCAGCAAGAAGATAAAAGAGCTCCCTGCACCCCGCTAGAAAGGTTCATTCAAACACGACCAAGTCAATTTCAATAATGTCTCTTTAACAAAAGGTTAATGACGTTGCTTTACTCCTCTGCCTGGTCTATTGCAGTTAAATTGTGTTTGTAAAAAGTACAAATGTTTGGGTCATTGATTCATTCGTGCCTCTATTGGATAAATACTGAGAACCCAGGAGGCAACCTGACAAAGTGAAAAGAAGAAGAACATTGGTGTCAGTACTGTGCTGGGTCTAAATCCCAGGCCTGCAATTTGCTAACTATATTGTGACCAAGTTATTTAATCTCTCTGAGCAAGGGTTCCCATTTATAAAATGGGAACATTCATGAAATCTACCTTCAAGGGCTGTGGTGAGAGCAAAGGATGTGATGTATACAAATGCTCATTCAGCCCAGGCCAGGATTGGCAGCAGTAAGTACTCAGTAAGTGTCTATTAAAAGAATAAATGAGTAAAACAGGAGAACAGTGAGGAACACAGTGCTAATGTATCTTGTGTCTCTGTTTTCAGTTCAGACAGTCAGCACTGACACAAGGCGATGATATAGGCACCTTTCCCTGAGCTAAGTGGCTGGCCTGTAGGACAGTCTAGGGGGACTTGAATATGACTTTGGACCCTTTCATTACAATAGAATATAGCCTGGACTCAAAGCTTCAGGCCTATTCTATTGCAATGAAGAGCTATGTGTTCTACCAAGTGAAAGAAAATATCAAGGCAATGTATAAAACAATATGGTTCTAAGTAATGAGATCAATGAATGTTATACATTTAGACATTATTAGCCAAATTAATGACAGTTAAAAAGTAAGTGGAAAGCTATCCCTTCTACAGTTTCTGTTTTTCATTTTTGTTTACTCTACTAGTATTTTATTCCTTTGGTGTTGTACTTCAGCTAAGTGCCTTAGAATTTGTGGCGTACTCCCTATGTGGATTTTTCGAATCCTTCATTGGCCCCACAACACTTCATACCTAGCACTGTGTGAGAGTTCATAGAACTTATAAGGAAGCTTAAGACAATCTTTCAGCTCTTCCAGGGAGAGAGAAGAACTTGTAATCAGTCTCACCATGAAAAAGCAAATCTTTCTTTTAGTCAGACTTCACAGAAATGTTGCAGAACAATCCATAAATGAAATAAAAAGTGCGATAAAATGAATACAGTCACAGCACCAGGCAATGTAGGGTTAAGTATCAGCTGGTGTTCTTAAGTGGTATGAATGTATGGGAGTTCCTTGTGAGCTGGAGGGTCAGGAAAGACTTTTCAAAGAAAATGGGAAGTGAACTGGGATTTAAGGGGGAGGAGAATGTTTAGAAAGAGAAGAGGGAACATGCATTGTGAGGAAAAGGGTGCTGTGATAAGGATAAAGTAAGGGTGTAGGAAGGTAAGTGTAGTGAGAGGGGAGGTAGTAAAAAGCAGCCTGAAGGAAGGGATCTGAGGGCCCCTAAAGAAGCCCAGAAGGAACCCTGGTGGCACCATGGTTAAGTACTCGGCCGCTAACTGAAAGGTTTGAACCCACCAGCTGCTTTTTGGGAGAAAGATATAACTTCCGCAGAGATGACAACCTTGTTCTCCTCTGCCCTGTAGGGTCAGAATTCACTCAGTAGCAATGAGTTTTGTTTGTTTTTTCAAAGACAATGGCCCAGGACTAAAACATGCTTGGTTCCATTGTGTGTGGGGTCATCATGAGTTAAGGGCTAGCTCAATGGCAGCTAACATGTCACCAACAAAAAGGCCAAACATTACATACCTGAACACAGCACTACCAGGCAGATTGGGCTACTGTGGGCAAACAAGGTATTAGCCAGTTGTGAGTACAGAGTCAGTGAGGAAATTCCTTTAAATACTTAGTTGGTGAGGTTGTAAGTTTGTCTATACAGAGCAGAAGGAATGGTTACAAGAAATGTTGCTTAGAAAAATTGTCATGATTAGGATTCGTTGTTGTTGTTATGTGCCGTGGAGTCGGTTCTGACTCATAGCCACCCTGTACAGGGTTTCCGAGGCTGTAAATCCTTACAAAAGCAGAAAGCCTCATCTTTCTCCCACCTGACAGCTTGGTAGTTGCGAACTGCTGACCGTGAGATTAACAGCCCAATTCGTAACCACTACGCTACCAGATATTCATGTGAATATACATTATTCATTAATTTATTTGTTCATTCATTCACTTAGAAAATGTTTATTCAACACCTACTATATGCCTGGTTTGCTCAAGGCCATGTTTGTAGACAAGACAAAGTTGCCTTTGTAGAACTTCCTGTCTAATAGATATGTAAGTTACAATATGTAAGTAAATTACATAATGTTAGAAGTTGAAAATTGGTATGGAAATAGAAAAGGAATAGAATATCAAGTAAAGATCTGGTTTAAGAGGTAAGGGGAGGAGGTTGTAGTATTAAACAGGGTGGTCAGTTCCCACCTCATTGAGAAGATGACAGCAAAAATTTAAAGGAGGTAAGGGAGCCAAATGGGTGTGTATGGGTAGAGCATTCTGGATAGAGAAAAAGCTAGAACAGAGATCCCAACCTTGAAAGGGGCCTGGCTTGTCTGGGCAAAACATGGTAGCCATGAGCTGAAAGGAGAGAGTGAGGGAGAGACAGTGGAGAAGTAACAACAGGGAACTGGAGGGAGAGACTGGAGAAGTAACAACCAGAAACATATCCTACTAGGCATTACCGAGCAGGGCAAGGCCTTTGGCCTTTATTCGCAGTAAACCAGGAAGTCATTATAGAAGAGGAGTGATGTGATCTGACTTACATTTTGGAGGAATTTTTCTGGCTGCTGTGTTAAGAATAGATTGTGCCAGGGCAAGGAATCGAAACAGGAAGGCCAATTAAGAGCCTGTTGCAGGGATCTAGGCAAGAGAGCTTGCAAGCTTAGACCAGGATGACAACAAAAGAAAGATGAGAATTGGTCAGAGTCTGGGTCTATTTTAAGAATAGAGTTAACAGGATTTCCTGAAAGAATGAATGAGGGCTTTGAGGAAGAGGATTCAAGAATGACCCCAGAGTATTTTCCCTTGAGC